CCGATGATCAATTTGATTGTAGTGAATTATAGTTATTGAATTTCACATCATCTATTTGGTCTTATAGAAAGATTTTACATCTTTACCGAGAATCGCTTGTCTAAACGATTTCCGAACCCAGTTATAGCCTTCCCCCCCTATGTCCAAAATCGGTCAAATATATGAGATTATTCAATTAATTGATTCTGAATTGATTACCGCTCACTCTGAAAATGTCTCGCTTCCATTCTATATAACATCTGACTGCTGTCAATCTCACAGGTCAATATCATACGAGATCACGCACACTATCTCGACTCTGAATATTTGTGTAAAAAGCAAAATAGCTAAGTAGAGTAAAGTCAATTTGATGATCGAGTTTTGAAACGAAACCTCTCGAATTTCGTAGTTTGGGCGATTAGTTCGAGACTGCTTTTCTGATACGTGGATTTATCTACCTTGATAATAATTTCGAAAGGACAGGTCTTCATATTGAAAGGGATGCCAAGTGCTCAATAGATCGACTTTCATAATATAAATCAGTAGATGTGATAATCGATTTGAAACTCTAATAACTGTAATATACACTGCATACGTTATTACAGAGCGTGTCTTGGGATCCTGATTACTTCTCCTCTTTTCTTTTCTCTGGATCACAAAGGTCGGACGAGACACTTATCCCTAGACCGCTTGCACTATTATAGAAACGTTTCAAAACGAAGAACTGTATGATATCAGTTTGATGTGTAGCCATTAAAAATTAATAAGAAGATCAATTCATTTTTACAGAACTTTCTGTGAGAAAACTTTGTATAATACATTCCTCGCGAACTCAAAATATATATTAGTTTTTGAGAGTAGTGTTCGCAGTGCCTTGTTCCTTTGTTTGCAAAATATAGTCACTATTGACTTGTTAACTACTTTCAGATTCTCTAACCTATTAAATTCAAGTGGGAATCAGACCAATATTAAACCCTTAGTTGGAGTGAAGAGCAAGAAAGGAAAGAAATCCACGACTTGTAAATCGTAATATTTATGTTCAAAGCATTGTTATGCAATTCCTATATAGTTCTATTCCATCGAATAGTATGATGTTGACACTTGTAGTCACCAATATAAGAGATACTGCGAAAGCAGGTGGGTATTATCATATAGTATGAATCCCTCCTCCCCGTGGAAACCTGCGACGAAAATCCTTATATTGAGTGGCATTTTAGTTTGAAATGCTGGAAATCTGAGATCAGAAAATAAGAAAACTATCTGCAGATTACACGAGATCTAGTGATACGAAATCGTTTGTTTGGAAACCGCATTAAGCTGTGTCTGTTTTAGTAATACAGTATCGATTCATTCTTGACAGCACTAGAAAAACTCATTTGTGAACGTGGTGGTACTAGTTGAGCGGGGAAATTGTACTAGGTACTTAGACCGATAAGCATAAAAACGATTCTTGATTTTATGTAGCGCAGGTATCATAAAGCAAGATGTGTCGTTCGTTATCATCATTATCATCAATAAGGTTAATCAGTTCGACACCCCAGAAGACTACAGACAGTGCTAGCAAAAGACAATTTTATCTCCTAACACTCCTTGCCCACACAACGCTACATTCTCGGAGACCTTACAGAGTCTTGGAAGAGCATTCTGGAACCCGAGTGCTCCGGCCTCCTCATGTTCTCTAAAGTCTCAGAAGCGATAGCATTATGATGCGTATCGATATTACCCTACTATGTCAGATTAATCTCCGCGCAGTATCATCAAGCGAAACTCCGCGCGGAGCCAACCTTCTTCTACCTTTTTACGTGGCTCTACTGAAGGAATTGCGCTGTAGTCAAACTCCAGAATTTGGGGCTAAGTGTCGGGGTTCCGGAACTGAATTGATTGGTTGATATATTGGATTAGTACAGTATGAGCATATCACAATTTGATCAACTTGTGGTCTGTGGCCGTTACAATCTCATCCTCTGTTGGGTGGATACAGGAGGAAGTATCGTATGATGTCAGTCAGTCTTGATCAAAGGAGATGTGGACTTGGATTGAAGCGAACCCGAATCGCAGTTTCAGTAATGATGTCGAGAGCTTCCTTGTTTGGGCATTATTGACGTAGAGAAATGGATGAATGGAAAGTAAATTGTGCACCGAGGTTCAATGATGAGATGGTGGGAGTGAAATGGAGGGGGTTGAGAGATTAGAGTGCACAGGGTTCCTATTCAGGGTCTGGGCTCGGATGCAAGGAGGGTCTATGGGGAAAGGTATATCCAATCGACATATTAAGTGCTAGCGACTTAGCAACTAAAACATATCATGCCAAATGTATCATAACGGTCAATGGACATGGTAGGAATAGTTTCCCATGAACGAAGAGGGCATCGATCTCCAGTGAATTATTCATGTCCTAATTGGGATGAATTCATGTTGAGTTCTATGCCGGTGAAGGAATCATCTCTCTTGTCCTTTCGCCGCCACTACGTGCGAATAAGCTTTACTTCAAACTACTGGTCTGTACGGAGTAGCGAAAATTATCTTTCTTGGTTCAATATGTCTTGCTGCCCGGACACGAAATTTTCATTTGCGCTAATTATCCTACAGGTTTACCTGCTGTACAAAAATCTCTACAGGCATAAGCGAATTAGCACACAACAATCTCATAGTCAAGATGCAGTACTACACTAACATGAGAAAGATACTTATGGTTCGAGTCAGTATTCAGTCTTGAATATCACCAGTGCTGGGTCACAATGCCAGGTGTATTGATAACCCGCAAACTGTGGCTCATCTAGATTAGCTACATATTCATATCTTGCAGCTCCTCATCACTCAACCCCATTCCCCGTATGTCTTACTTCTCCAGAACTCCAGACTCCAGATTTCCCGTCGATATGCATCCAGCATTTCCAGAAAGTTCTTCATGCCCAAACCACTGTTCTCGATGAAATCCCCAACGCACATATCACCAAACTACGGTACTACCACTTTGTTAATAATTCATGAGCAATATACAGTACCACGTATCTCTATCTCCACCTATCTGTACTGCACCCCTCGCTCACGTGCAGAAGCGTGATCGTGCTCGGTGAGCCACGTAACCAGACGTGAACTATGTGCAGCCACGTAGGACCCCACATGTTCATCAATTCATTTCTAACCAAACTCGTGTTCATTGTGAGATATGATTCCCTTGATTCGTCTCTCCGCATTCAATATTAAATGTGAGAGAATGAAGAGATTTTATGCTATTCTGGGCTTTTACATGTTTGAAAAGGAAGTTGGGTTACGATGTTGAAATGCTATGCGAGCCCCACTATGTAGGTACCCTGGTCGTACATATGCGACTACACGAATTCTGCAACGTTATGTTGTATTGGGAAGCAATAGTCATTTTTTATGCTACCTACAATGAATGAAAAGTGCGTTTTGAGACGCCCAGAAGATGATAATACCCACTTGATATGTTGAGATGAGATGGTCTAGATGATACGATTTGATGATTCTACATGAAAAATATGCACGACGTACTTTTGCATTACAGTAAGAAGTTAGATTGTGTAGGTATTGATATCAGTCCATGAAGATTTGAAACAGACTTACTATCTAGTAAGGTCAAGATATGTGGTCTACAATACCCCCCTTCCTCTGGAATCAAATCGGCTAACATGAATTCACTGCGTCTAGCTATTGCACCCTGCATACATGTAATATTGGAAGACACAGAGTCCCTTGATTCTCCACATACTCGTCCGACTAGAAAATAATGAGTATGCGACTCCGAAGCTAGATACACATATCACACAATAGTAAACTCCAAGAGGACTAACCTGATCTTCTTGGTGGCGAAGTTGCATACTCTCTGGCAGCACGACTGCCAGTCGTAAAACGTTGATCATCCTTCCCGGAAAAATAAGTAGACTCACCTGCATGCATTGAAGTAGGCAGGTGACTCTGGCATACAACACTTGCATATATGTAGATCCCAAGAAAGACCCTGACCCTGACGTGTTTATAAGCCTCAATGAAACTTCCTGTGCAGGAATCTGACCTAAGCTTTTTTGCCTCAAGTCTGCTCAAATAGATCGATAACACTTAGTCGATTCGGTTCCAATGATGAGACATTAGCTATGCGAGATGTAAATTTGCCTCTAATTCTCACGAGCTCGTTAGTATGTATTATGGTTAAAGACTGCCGTCGTCAATCCGTATGTTGTTTCGACCTAAACCGTTTGCACTTGTATCAGTGCATTCGTATCACGGGGACATGCAAGATCTATCCATGACAGGCAGGATGTATTTATTACTCGGATACACACTCAGAGCAATACTATGACCTTTCGCAAATGTTGATGTGTTTCATGGACCACTACTTAGAATAGCTTAGTAACTCAGAGCACCCCTTTAAGGAGTCTCTCTTCCATAGTCTTATAAATTTAGTCACTATATTATGAACATTACTCTACCTATATACGTTCAGTAGCGAGAAAGGAACCTGTAAGATTACAACAATATTTCATGTCAGCGAGTGCAAGAATAGATTATTGGATCAAACCAGTCATTGAATGGATACTGATGACAGCTGAAGAATAAGCCAATGATAGTATTCATAGAGACCTGAGAATTGGAAAAATTCCCCAGGTTAATTTATCTAGGATTCGTATCACACAAAAAGATATATACACACGGGTCGATTATGAAGTTACTATTACTACTATACGTATATACGGTAATGAGAAAATCATTCAACCGCCACTAATTTACATGAAAAACATACAGGGTATATACGGTAATGAAAGAATCATTCGACCGTCGCTGGTGCTACATGAAAAAAATAAACAAAAAATTATACACGGTAATGAGAAATCATTCAACCGTCGCTGATAGTACAAGAAAAAGAAACACACAGTGCATACTGTAATGGGAGAATAATGATCAAAATGTACGGATGATATAAAGCCAGAAGCAAGCCGTCTTTGTCGGCCTTCGACAAGATTTGCTGCAGGAGGATGGCTTGCCCCAACAATATTTGCATCTTAACTCGAAGAATATTCCGAGTCTGTATCATCATCACCTAGAAACCCGTCTTCAGAACTGCTTCCGCCGTCGTAGCCAGACTCTGTACCAAGTTCCTCGATGTCTTGGACGGCGGGAGAGCTCGCTTTCTGACCAACCCCATTATTGTCGCGACTGGCAGCGCTGCGGGCATAAAGCTCACAGAACCCTCCACAATGCGGGAAACCACAGTCATCCTCGCCAATACTCTCCCCTTGGAGTCTTCTAAAAAAGAACTCCGGGGAAGGAGTGAAGGGCGGGGTGGCCGGATTAAGGAAAGTGGTAGGGGCGGGTGCACCAGAATTCCCGCTAGTCGCGAAAGGATAGAAGGGAGGGGTGGCAGGGTTGAGAATAGTGGTGGAGATGTGCGCACTAGAGTTCTCGCTGGCCCCGGAAAGATAGAAGGGCGGGGTGGCAGGGTTGAGAATATTGGTAGAGGTGTATTCTCGGTCCATCGATTGGTTGTTGGGCAAGATGTTATTCGAGTTCGTCATGGTGAATGTTTGTATTGAATCCAGGGACTTCAAAAATGGTTGTAAGAAAGATAATTGGCTTTTAATTACAGGTAATAGGAAGATTGTGATATAGGAGTGATGTTCTGATACAGTATCAAAAAAGTTTTCAAATCTTGTGGAACTTTCGTGAATATATAGACCCTTCCCCAGTTCAAATGGAAATCTGGGGAGCTTTTGGGCTAGACTTTAGTCGAAAAAATGTCGGTACCTAGGTATACTTACCTCTAACCACCTAGCTTCATCCAAATGGATCTAAAAATGTAAAAATTTAGTAATACAAAAGCCTGAAGAAAAATTCGCACGCCCTAGACAATCGCAGTCCTCTCTGTAAAACATCCGGACTGTTTTGAGTGGCAGTTCGACCAATGGAAAAGTGTTTGTGCCTGTAGATCACACAAATCTGAACGTGAGCTAAGTTTATGGGAAATATGCTAATATCATTTTTGGTCAACGGGGTAGCCGTTGTGTGGAGAAATTTCGTAGTGTAAGAATCTGGGAAACTGGCCTGTACAGAGCTCTAGCCTACGAGAAAGTTAAGCCTTCCCAACATAAGATCTGCTGTCATTGATGCAATGATCTGGCTAAGGAAAAGGTAATGATATACACGGGCTACACTTTCCTCCAAATCAATTTTGACTTCTAGAATAGATTTACAATTGTCATTTTATGTGATTGGGTCATTGTGACATAGATAATTCCTGTAATGCGAGCATCTGAAGATCTAGATTATCAAGAACTTGAAATATGTAGAAGTGAGTCATATACTAGTCCAATTAACCCCAACATCTGGTATGAAATTTCGATAGAGTTTAAACTTCACCACGTTTACGATGGCAGGCAGGTCTTTCTTGGCATAAAATCAGGTGATTTACTTGGTACCTTGATAGACTTTTCAGTTCTCAGGCCAAGCAAAACCGAGTCTTCAGACCAAGTGTTGCTCTAGTGTCAGTGTCACCTGTCATGGTCATCGTCTAGTAATTGATTTTCTTACAGAAACATACAGTTCCATGATCCAAATATCACACCACTGGCATTACTTCGAAATTCACAGCTCCAGGTCTTTGGGCTTGTTCAAATAAGGGGACCAGTGAATAGATAAAGAAAAGCCACCTATAAATTTACTTGACAATATTTGTTCTGATGAAATTTACTTTTGATAGAATTCATTAACCAGTGATGAAGGTCATGCAAAACTTGCCTTTGAAAAGTTCAAACTCAAAATTTCAGAGAGGTAAGTCATCAGTTGTCTACTGGCTTTTAAAATTTTCAAATTCGAGCCTCCAATTTTACTTGCTTGATATGTATGTTTCAGGAATTATCCATTCCTACATCACGCAAAACCCAACCCCCTACCTCCGTGGGACTCCATATTTTAATCACAAAGGTGGGAGGTCAAAAAGGTTATAGAAGCATGAAAAAATATTGATGATCTTTCGCCAACTAGAGAGAGGAAATGAGAGGTCTAGACTTCTACTGTGTTCATCCCCCTGTTGAGAAAGAGGATTCCAGATTCGTTATTTGTGAATCGTAGGTTTGAAAGTCTTCCTGGAGCTCATCTAAAGGAACTTGTGTAGTAAAAACCGGCACTAAATCTGTAAGGCGCAAGGCTTAGGGGGGATTAATTTTCACTTGACAAACACTAGATCGACCGGACTTGAACTAGACGCAACTTTTCATGATGACACAGTGAAATACGTTGATAAGGGCCAGAAACATGCCAAATATCAAGTGGCGAAGCACTAGCTTAATCTTCCTATATATTTTCGGAATTCAAAGTGGCCAAAGAATCATGATAGATTGTGATCGTATCGTATGTAGTTCAATTAAACGAATACTTTGACGTGCTTACATTTCAAGAATTCCTATTGGTTCATGTTGAATGTGGGATGTGATGACTAATCAAGATCCATGACGCTGATGAACCTCGGAAAAATATACTTGTAAATATTTGAACCATAGCAATAGTACTATCATACAACGACAACAACAATCCTACAGTATACTCCAATAATCTACAATTGATAGTCCACAATCTTTGGTAGTATTCAAGATTCAAACACTCCTACAATCGACGCGTTCAAAGCAAGCGCGAATATCCAATTGAATCCAAATAGCCATAACCCCTCCATTATGGAAAATCTCGTCCTTTCCGGCCTGCGTTGTCTGCGAACCAGAACCCTTCTTCCAAACACCTCGATTTCAAGATGCTCAAACCTCCATAGCTCTGCCACCCGCGCTGCACAAAGTATACGTTCATACTCTTCTCCCGCATTCAATTCACCCTGCACTCTCGCCCGAAGCGGAGCTGCTTGCCCCTCATCATCTTTCGCCCGCCTTAGATTCTATAGCAGTGAATCCTCTCCATCCACAATCAAAGGTACCGTAGGCGAAGGCGCAGATGGAGCTGCGACAGATAAACTCGAAGTGCCATCTCATCTCGACGAAGCAGAAAAGAAGATTTGGGGTTTATTATACAACGAACTTGCGCCCACGAAACTGCAGGTGCAGGATATAAGTGGTGGATGTGGAAGTATGTATGGGATTGAGATTGTTAGTGAAAAGTTTAGGGGGCTGAATATGTTGAAACAACAGAGGTTGGTTAATAAAATACTGGGAGAGGAGATCAAGGGATGGCATGGTGTACAGTTGAGGACTAGTGTACCTTGATTCGAGAATGTGAAATTATAGGAGGGATTTGAATGGTTATAGATATATACATAATGCGGCATTCGGCAGTCTTGTTGCATGAAGAAAATTCGTGTAGGTCGGATCGAGGTGGCTAGGGCATCTGAACATTGGGAGATGGCAGGTCTAACGTGTACATTATGGTTTGAATACGGGGATATCGGAATGCACCAATCAAGGAAGTAATGGCTGGGTGAAATTACTTCAATAAAATGACGTCTAATGAGAAAGTTCAAGATACTCTCCTCTCATCGTCTGCTAGAAAATTGAGGGCATCGATGTTTGTTTCCAGGCGACTGACCGATAGTCAATTATTGTCCTTTAGGACACTCCTGAAATCAAACCACTTACTTGAAGTCCAAGCCCCGCAGAATTCACTTAAGTTTTCCTTTTTTCCTTTCGCTTATGACGTTTTGTTGCAAGTCTGCAAGTGGTTGCACGGCGGTAAAAGCCTAGAGACTGCTAACTCGATCCCAATTCTCCAGCTGAATTTTCACCACCGTATCACTGACATCTAGGTTATTCTTGATAATCATCCCATCCTCACCCGATCTCCTCGCTTAAACTATATTGGTTGTTAAGGGGCATGGTTTCAGTGAACACTATAGCGACAGAGCTGGACTGGAACGACTATGACCTATGTATGTCCAGTACAAAGGGAAGCCTACTAGATCAAATCTTATTGCGAATTATAGTGTCTCAACCCTCCAGATTACACTGTAAGAAAACGTCATTACCTGACGTACCAGATTTAAAGTCTACGAAATCTTCACACGAGACTTTTACGCATACTTCCCAGACACAGATTTGAACTGTACATGTCACACTTGAGTATAAATCCAGTGTTTCGCAGTCGCTCCTTTTACTCTCAATGCCAGGCTAGGCCCAGCCGTCACATTCTTCTCCCACAAATCCATATTCCCCGTCTGCAAAAGCACACAGCATAATGATATTTCTTCTTTCGCTTCTAGCCCAACATCAAACCCACGTAAGTAAGCCATCACAATGTTGAAAAACATCGTGTCGCTGCGACCGCAGCGGACGAGATTGGAAACATCACCCGATCGCGTGTTAACTCGTGGCGTTCCAAACAATGGCTAATTGATTGCTTGATATATCTAACCGCACTTTCGCTTTCTTCATATGAGCTGATAAGATCTTGCGATGTTAATCAGTAATTACGCCGAATCTTAATTTCTGTATGATATCCTACCCATGAAATCCCGTGCTTTTTCAGGCACTTCCTCAGCATCTGAGTCATATTTAACATCAGCTAGGTATTGGTACATATTTGAAGCCAGAAAGTTTTTCTTCAGCGTTCTCTCGTGAGAACTTGTCTGCCCAGGTACAATGATCTGGTAAAGAGGCGGGACCCGCTGTCAAAGGTACAGCTTCGGTACCACCACTACCAACAGTTCCACGTTCTAAAAAATACTCTCTGCCCTTCCAATCGATCTTTCAAAGGCTCCCGGATACCTTCATATAGCAAAGTCAACATGGCTTGAACAAAATGAGACATATCGGCTCATCTTGATATGACCACTGCATAGGAACTAACTTCAGGAGCCCGCTTGGACAGGCAGATTTGGGTGCTTTATTGTATGCGGCAGCAAGTGTATACTGTAATTGTCTGATCGCCATAGGCGAGAATCTCGCTAGATCCTAACATTAGTAAACTGGGGACCAGTAAAATTATATTAGGAATAATCAAATTGGTATCTTTTTTCTTATACCTCCAATGACTCTAATCTAGATTGAAGCTATATAATCTACCAGCCTATATCTATTTCCCACTGCATCTTAATGGGATTCTTAATGTTCTCAGGAGTCTGATCTGGATACCTCTCGGCAATCAACTTCATTACTTCTTTATAGAGAATCTTATAACCTTCGCCGCTAAAATGTAAACCTGTATCAAGGATCAGTCCACCCGCAAATCGCTTTAATCCTTTGATCGTTGGTGTTGGTGTTGGTGAGTTACTTACCATCGTACAGCAATTTCGTGAGCTTTTTGTCCTTGCCATTTTCTTCTAAGCCTGGCATCTCAGCAGGATTATCTCCTTCTTTCCACCTGTAAAGAGATCGATTTTAGCTCACAGCTTCTTGTTCCCCCTAATCTTGCATAATTTCTAGAGTTTTCAAGGAAAATTATCCGGCCCTTGACTTACTCACACGCCCCCATGAATGCACTCCAAATATCCACAACACCCAGTCCCTCTTCCTCTCCAACCCTTTTCACCGCATCCCTATACTCCATCGTCCAACTAACCCGTCTAGGTTCATCCGAATTTGCC